TCTCTCTCCCTCCCTCCCTCCCTCCCTCCCTCCTTAATTCCTATTTTCCCAGTCTGTCTACTGAGCAGAGCACATTGAGCACTCATATCTATAACAGTAAAAAATGGCAATAAAGTGATCTTTAAAATAAACACAATAAAATTTACGCTTTATAAAAAATTTTGTTCTCTTCAAGACATTTACCCTAAAAGGTATGTGTTCAAAATTGTTTTTTTACTATCTTTTTGGAAGCCTCCTTCAGAAAGGGTAAAAATCTTTTGAAAAATTGTAAATGTAACATATCATGCCACTTAAGTAGATATTATATTTGAAAACAGCCAAAAGCCAGCAGAACTCAACTCTGATGAATCACGTAAATAATCAATCTGCATAATACCAATTTTAGTCGAAATGTACTTTATAGAAAACACACTGTGAATCCAAGTGTTATTCTGGAACCGCGTTATTCTCTATTGAGCAGTTTCTTGTATTTAAGAAGTACAGCAGGTTCACTCCCCTGAGCTAAGGATGCCTCCCAAAACAGAGGTCCCTGGCCAGCCCAGGACACAGGGAAGGAGGCCAGCAGCCGGTACCCTGGCTTCCTCTCTAGGACTCTTACGTTCTCTTCTTGCTCTTATCAACAGTCCCACCCCTGTGTCTTCCCCTCCCAGCTGGTCTCTTTGGTGACCCCCTTACCCTGCCTTCAGGAAGCCTCCTCTTCCTTTCTGTGGGCCGCTTGCTGCTGAGCCCCCATCATGTACTAGGCACTCTCACAAGAGTGTCAGGGGAGGGCTCATCTCCACCCTCTCACTTCCAGGTTCCTGCTTCATTTTGCTCGCAGGCCACCCTGGCCTACCTTGGGGTGTGAGACGGACAGAGCTATTCTGAGACTCTTGAAATTCAAGGCCAGACCATTGGAAACAAAAATCACCCTCAAGCATATGGGCTCCAGAGTCAGAGGCTTGGGTTTAAGTTTCAGTTCTGCTGTGTGACTTGCACAAGTCAACTCCCCTCTCTGTGCCCTGGTTTCCTCAACTACACTATGGAGATGACAGCAGCACACACCTCAGAGTTGTCTCAAAGACTACCCGTGCTTGGCACAGTAAATGCTCAGTAAATGTTGCCATTATTACTTTTTCTCTCAGAAAAAAAAAAAATACAATAGGCATTTCAAACACTCACTTCCAATTCTACTGAGAGATCCCAGAGACATATCTGTCCATCATGGCATCCAGTTACAACTGTGGCTCCATCGTCCATTAAAAGTACTGCTGAGATGCAATGAGTTGGTGCTTTGCGACCCCAAAGCACGATGGGTAGAACAAGGCTGTTTCCTGCCATTGTGTTTTAAATCTGGAAATATTACCAGAATAATGTCAAATATTACAATATTTCCTTCTAAAACATAGTATACATTTTATTATTAAGCCACCTTGAACTTCCTAAGTGTCAAGAATTCTTCTAAATATTATATATATACAATATACACATATACAAAAATATATAAATCTTATTATATCCACATAAAATCTCATTAAAACCTCAATTAGTCCTCATAAGAAATCATGCAGTAAGTACTATTATCACTCTTATTTCACAGATAAAGACAGAGAGTCATAAAGAGTCATAAAGTGAAAACTGAAGTAATAGGGTCCAAGTCAGAAGCCCAGGCAGCCTGACTTCAGAACTTGTGGAATAACTAACTCTGCTATGCTACTGAAAACAAGCGAGGACTCCAAATCTTTTTAAGTCTCCAAACCAGTAGTAAACATCAATATCCAAGAAAAGCTCAGTGCTGTTTCACAGTGTGCTAAACATAAAAACTGTATGTTCAGTGAGAAAATTATTCCACCATATTTACTACAAACCTATTATGTCTCAAGGTCATGCATGTCTTCTATTGTAATCTCAGGTACTTGAGAGAAAAAGAATTTCTCTTTAAACTCCTTTCTGCATAATAAAAATTAGTTCTAGTACAAAGATTTAAATCTGAGAATAATCAATTTACAAATGTATGCTGCAATACACCTCTTACAGGAGAGCACACATATAGGGAATTATTCCTTCATATGTCAAAATTAAGATCTAGTTGGTGAAACAACTACATTTAATCATTTATTAACTGTGTGGTCAAAAACTTAAATACTAGTTCAGAGAAGTTAGAGAAATGAAGATTGGAATAAATACAGAGGGCTCCACAGAAAACAAGACTACCAGATCTTACGAGACTCTTAGGAGGCATTGGGGGATAGGGGGTCAGCTATAAAGCTCGATGGATGGTCAATCAAAAGAAATGTTACTGTAGTGATTTTTTTCTACTAAATATTTAAGTGACAACAAAAGATATGTGTATAACTAGAGACTGTTCGGAATGCTAAAATGGTCCTAAGACATTTTCGGTAATACTTGAAGGAATTGCCACTTTCTGTGACAGAAACTAGTTTGATAGCCATGGTCTTATTGCCAGTTGCTTTTAGTAAGTCTTTTTAAAATACTGCCTACACTCCTTAAATAGGTAAGAACTAAAACTAAAATCTCTTTAAAAACAAGAAATGGTTATGAGAAAGAAAATTAGGGAAGCAAAAAATTATAAATGATGTTGTAATGTTTCCTAAAAAACAATCTATATTATGTATTTTATTTTTTGTTAGAATAATGGCTTTTGTTAGTTTTTTCTCCCAAAACATCATCTTTTTGCTACAAGTAAGTTATACATTTCAAGAAAAAATTCCAAGTTTACTTCCCATTAACAAAACGCTGTATGCCTCATGTTCACCATGTCATAAACTACCACAACACTATATTTCCATATTCCTATTTAATATCAGAAAATGAAACAAAGCCCTGAATCAATTTTAATAAATGTGGTACAGCATGTTCCCGGCTGAATAACATATCCAACAATGATTTTCTCAAACAGAGAATCTGGAAGGAGTTCATTTTTCCATGGTGACAACATTCAGTTTTAAATTAAATCACCCAAAGATTTCTCTCAATTAAATAAGCTCAGAGCACAGAGCACAATATGGCAAGATCTGGAAAGAACACCATTTCTCTAGATATTTGAGGATTCGTATTCAATGCGTACCGCCTGGCTTAAAGAGGATGCAAATATGTAGATTCAGGACTAAGGAACATGCGTGCCATTGAGAAATGTGCCTGCTCTGATGCAACAGGAAAGAACATTCTGGTATTCAAGTGACAAGGCAACTCTAGTAACCTGGAAGCATAATGCACTGCACAGTCCTTAAAACAAGTTAAAAGAATGGTCCATAACTGATAAAAGTATAGCTTACACGTCATTAGAACACACACTGATCTCTAACTCAGCTTCTCCAGAAGCTAAAATAATTACAAAGATTTAGAAAAAAACCAATCCTCTCATCTTCACAAAAATCAAGAACTGAGAGTCAATCAGAATCTGAGAAGACTTCCCATTAAGGGCAATTAAGGATCTTCATAAGGGATTGGGTCTGTTTTCTAGGCTGCCACACACTAAGTGGCTTAAACATCAGAATTTATTGTCTCGAGGCTAGAAGTCTGTGATCCAGGTGTAGGCATGGTTGTTTCCTTGAGGGCTGTGAAGGGAAGGCTCTGCTCCCGGCCTCTCTCCTTGGCTTGTAGGTCACCTTCACGCTCACACAGCATTCTCCCTTTGTGCAAGTCTGTCTCCAAATTTCTCCTTTTTTATAAGGACGTCAATCATATTGGATTAGGGGCTACTTAATAACCTCATTTTAACTTGATTACTTCTATAAAGACAAATAAGTTCACCTTCTGAGGTACTGGAAGTTAGGACTTTAACATATGAATTTTAGAGGAACACAATTCAATCCATTAACAGGAATATATCCTTTAAAAGAACATAACCTAAAATTAATTAATTATCCAAATAATTCCTCTTAAAAAATAATGATACAGAACTTCACCATATCTTTTCCAGGAGATCATGTTACATCAGCTAGTTAACTCTTTATCTGAGGAATAAGGTAAAAAGTTCTGTCCAAGCAAGGTAAGGAGTTACAACCTCACGTTGAGTGTGTGGCCAGGAGGCCGGTGGGGCGGGGGGCG